ATAATAAAAGTTGGCCAAAATTATTTTAATACATTGATAACGACGTTAGGACGGATTAAAGATAGGACGAACAAAAAATTGCGCTGCGTCGACAAATTCGGTAAACCCAAATCGACTCGTAAATGCAAATATCCGTCTCACCCGTCACAGCAACAACAGAAATACAACGGAATTTTTTCACCTCACGTGGAGCCGCCATTCGAACGTGCGAGCTAACAAAAAATTGATGCGCGCGTCAACGCAAAAATCTGTTCCGTACGTTCGAAAAAGGTTTGTACCATCAAGGTACCGAGATAAAAAAAATAACCCGTAATAATCGACTCGCGATATGAAATTTCGTCCGTAATAACAAAGATGTGCACGAATGAAATTTTTGGCTAAATTTTTCAATTGATCGACGGAAACCGACCTGGCAAATTTACATTGCGCGTAAATGTGGCCGCGTGAAATGGAATTAATTTAATTATGAATTCTCTCGCGATGCCCGGCGCAAGGAACGAGCTCGTTTCGCCAGGGGGAAAATCGCCGGTATTCTTAATTGAGGCCGGAGCAAAGAGGGGATCACGAGCAAAGCTTGCAGCAAATTTGACGCGGGCGAGGGCGATCCATCTGACGGTGGCTGGCAATTAGCGTAACGCAATTTCGCCGCGCGACTCGGCCTTCGATCCGCGGCGCGACACGATCGCGGATACACTCAGCCCTGTAATCGAATCGCTCGCGTTGCATCCGCCGCGCCGCAGCGGAGAATCAACGCCATAAACTAATGCCGCTTGTGCCGGAGACGACCAATGCGATTATCCGGTTCCGTAACCGGAAGGCGAGAGCCGTCGAAAATCCGATTAGAGCGCTCTAAGCATGATCCGCTGGGAACAGGTGTCTTCGAGCGTGATGATTTATAAATGACGGCAAAACGGCCGAACGAAAGAGCTGTTATTTGGCACACGAAACGGTATATGCGATGCAATCCTCGAGGGTAATCGATGTAATACTCAGACAATATGGACAGTCCTAAGCATCTTCAAAAAAGAAAGTTATTTAAACGGGTATAACAATACTTAGTATGACCAAGAGACATTTTATACCATATTAATTAAAAATTAATAACTATTAAGATTATTATAAAAAAAAACAAATAAATCTGCAGATTTGGATAATAGGAAATGCTCAAAGACGATGTAATTATACGTCAGGTAGCATTTCAGTTTGTAACTGATGATTCAATATTTGTTTAACAAATTTGTTAAGACAATAATTAATTGTTCAACCCTAAGATGATCAAAAAATAATAAATATTAATGATATTATAAAATAATTTTGTAACGTCACAATTCAAATTGAAAATTTTTGTACTAAAAATGTTCCACTTCATCCTACCATCTATTATAATTTCTATGAAAATTTTACATTTTATGGAACTTTTTTTAGTCCAGCAACGCTTTTGAATAATATCGATTACATTGTCGCGATTTATATCATAAAAAAGGCCGCGTTGCGGTCAATTCGCATGTCAGGGTTGATCGGCCATCCGTGATTTTCGAATTAATGCGTCAAGTGGGACCTGCGGATGTTACCGTTTGTATATTCGCTGGAAATTGAATTTTCGGAACGATGCCACCATGCGTAGGCGCGACATTTCACTGGGAAATTCGTCCCATTAAACACGACGCAAGGGCGTTATCATCATGACGAGCGAATAAATAAGGACGTTAACCAACGAGTGTGTAAATGCGACTCTGCGACGCGAAACAAAATATCGCGTGTGATAATAAAATGCAGCCGACGCTGTCGAAGCTTTTGATTGTTTGAGATTAAAATAAAGCCGCCAGTCGCTTTCTCACTAACGAGTCGTCCGCGCTTAATTGGCAACGGAGCCGGGTTCCGTTACCTCCGCGAAAATTTTGCAAGCAGAAATAACGTGCGAATTTTCTGTCTTCTCTCTCACTTTAAAAATGCAAAAAAGTAAAAATTAAAATTTGAAATTCATCGTCAATAAATATGAATATAAGACGTGTATTATAAAATTCACATTATGTTTTAATATATAAAAATAAAAAATCACATAACGGAATCGTTTAAATAACTCTCAAATCTGACTGTGAAAATATTGAAGTTTCGATTAAAACATTTCATCAGATAAGCTGATAAGAGATAAATGGAAACCATGCGCGGAGCGTTGATGTAATTTGCCGAGATTTAATTAGTTGTCTTCCGGCGATATTTCTCTTTTTGATTTTACGAGAATGGTCACCGATTTTCCACGACGTTAACGACCTACATTTTGCAATAAAAATACTCGAAAAACCGCGCGTGAAAATTCGTGCCAGGAAATGATGATGTTAGGCGGTGGCAGCGGCCAAGGAAAACGCAAAGGAGGATAAAAAAAAGGGCGCACGCGAAAATACTCTCTCGCGACCATAACAGATTGGCAGTGAAACTGTCGGGTCAGCATTTTCTTGCAGGCACCGGGGCCAGGAGGCTTCAGATTAAAAGGTTCGGAGCCCGCTCGGCCGTAATAAGAGTCAGCATCTTTCTCTGGACAATATTTCACGTCATTACACACCATTTCACCGCAATTAAGATTTGAAAATTTTGGCCGCCCGCGGTTTATCCAAGACTCTTTTTTCCAGTCGCGACCGCTCAAAATGTGACCCAGTTTGTTGGTTAGTTATCCGTAGTCTCCAATCCTTGATAACACCATTTGTGAGATCAATCAAATACTATAACCCATATAAGGTCGCCGGAGGTTACAATACAACCAACACTTGGCCAATGCTACGGCATTCGATTATCGGCCAAGGTTTTGTCAGCCAATGCTGGGCCAACACTGGTTGTCTACCTAAAACCTGATCTATAAAGAATAATCCGGCGTTACGATAAAGCCAACACTTGGCCAATGTTGGCAGCCGCACATCGCCCGACATTTTGTCAGACAGTACTGGGCCATCACTGGCAAATGACTGGTGCATAACCTATAAAGAATAATCCGGCGTTACGACGAAAACTAACGCTTGGCCAATGGCTGGCACCCGCACATCGGCCAATATTCTGTCAGACAGTACTGAACCATCACTGGCAAATGACTATGCAAATGTCGAATCATCCGATAGATGGCATTTGATAGGATCCGTTTCTCCTATTTAAAATTCGACCAACGATGCTATAAGAACGATAAATGACATTGTTGTGCAGTTCTGTATAAATGACAGAACTGCACAACTTATACAGTTGTATCGTGGAGTCCACTTTTATAATAAAATGTGACACACTTTTGAATTGATGTTAACGTTAATGTAACCTTATTTTTGAAGACTGATAATAATTAAATAAACAAAACATATATATATATATATATAACGCATATATTTTATAACAAAACTCGTTTCTTAATTAATTATCAACCAGTCTGAATCTGGCAACCAGTACTGGCGCAGTACTGGGCCGATAGTAATACCTATACTGGGGCAGTACCAATAGACAACGGCTGGGCCAGTACTGTCGGTCAGTATTGGGCCAAAGTTATCATCCGGCGCTGCGGCAGTACCGCGCCAGTAATGTTGCCAGTACAGCGCCAGTACCTAAACTACCACAACCCAGTACTGGCCCAATACTGGGCCGATTGTGAAACCCTGTATGGGAATATTTGGAAGTATAAATAAAAGTAAGCGTTGTGCTTTACATAGAATATTCGCATAGAGTAAAACATCGGAAATGTTGGCAGATATCAAAAGTATTAAATAATCGTTAAAAAAATTATGTCCATTTAACGATCATTGGGAAATTAAAAAAAAGTAATAGCTATTGTGATATTATTATTAGAGAAACATTACATTAATTTATAGCTTGTATGTTCAACTATTTTTTCTTTATTTTGTGATTTATGTAATAAATTATTAATACCTAATGATCAATACAATAAACGCAAGTTCGAAAGCTGCTATTTATCGGAAATGTTTAA